TCCAACACATTACTGTCTCAGTCCTAAAATGGTCTCGTCTAAGTCCATCTCCAGGAGGAGACCAGAGGCTCAGAGGAGTGAGCTAACTTTCCTGTCATCTCACCCATTGCGGCTGGATGTCTTAGCATTTCCAGCACAGCCAATAAATATGCTTCAGTTGGTATCTCTGCTAGTCTGTTTCTAATAAGCCTGAGTGGACGGGGCTGGACAGCACACATTCAAAGGGTTGTACGGTTGGGGGGGACTGTTTTGGTGGAGGGAGGCCTCGGAAGAAGGTGTCGTTCCCTCAGTGATGTTCCTAAGAGGGCACCCTGAGAAGACTGGGAGGAAGTATCTCTTCTCTCAGACTACCCGGCTTGACACTGAAGAACATGTAGACTTTCCTCTCTCTAACCTGAGTTATCCTAGACCTGCATCCTAGATGCTACCCTACCTTCGGGCCTCAGTATTCTCACCTTTCAAATGGGTGCCATCGACTCTACCCCAACAGTCCCACAGCTGTGAAGAAAAGCAATTTTGAAGCCACTGAGAGACTGTAACTAGAAAGACCAGCATGAGGTACAAAGGATCTGTTTCTCCCATCCATTTTACCTTCCCTGGCCTTTCCAAATGTAGCCCTGATTTTACAATCTTTTATACAGGGGTGATGTGTTGTAGGTAAAACATAATTGTGATTGGAAAGGATGGAGGCAATACGCAAAGTATCCAGTGAAATGCTTCCAGTCAACGACAAAACATGGGTTGGGTGAGGGACAGCAATAAGCAGGGCTGTGCGGGACTCGATCTGCAGATGATGGACATGGGTGTAAGAAAGGACCTGTACTGGAACCCAGCAAGCCAGGGAGTTCTCTGTGGCAAGCATTACTGAAGGCGCCCCCGCCACACACATTTTTTTTTTCTGGTAAAAGTCCTTAAATATGCACCCCAGCAAAAATAATCTATAAGCATTTCCCCCATATTCATTCTCCTATAAAAAATTACTCTCCTTGGAGAAGAGACCGAAGACAAGAAGGCCCTCTGCCCTACAAAGTCAGAGAGGACTCTGCACATTTATTTCTTCCAACCAGGCTGGGAACTGGAAGCAAGCTGGCCTAAGGTGCTGAGCTGATGCTAAGAGGGTCTACAGCTATAAAACACTGGCTTTGACGTCCTTGTAAACCACCTGGGACGAGAGTCAAGGGGTCCCGGGGCTGACATGCTCAAACCCCAAAGCTGCTGGTTCGGCTAATGGGGAATCAAAAACCAGAATGGCACATCCCTTAACAGTCTCTCTAATGTCTGGTTAATTATCTGTTAACATGAAACCTATACATAACAGGCCGGTAATAATTAACTATGATTGGCTGAGTATTTCAGGAGAATACCAGCACCTGTCCCTGAATTTGCCCATAGCGGGTTCTGGACTTGCCTTGGCTTCACCAAACACAGAAAAGCCACTTCTGAGTCAACATCTGGCCCAGACTGGATTACAGACTCAGAAAAACTTCTGTCAGGAGTCATGAAACCATCTGGCATAATAAATTCCTAACTTGACGGATGGGGAAACTGAGTTTCCTAAGGGAGAGATCCTACCAAAGTCCTCTGTTTTCTTTCTTTCTCTCTTTCTCTCTTTCTTTCTTTCTTTCTTTCTTTCTTTCTTTCTTTCTTTCTTTCTTTCTTTCTTCTCTCTCTCTCTCAGAGAATATGGGATAGTTCAAAGTATGCCTTCAGCTGCTTAGAAACAGTTACTAGACACAGAAGTTGATACACTAACTGTACAATAAAATTTTGACATTTCACATGACTTTTTATCAGAAACATACAGAAGCAAAATTATGTAAAGTAAGCTTTCTATATACACATTTCCTTCCAACACATGCCTATTTGGTTTAAACTGGATGCTTCCAGGCACCGGCTCAGACTGACAGGCGAGTCCCAAGCAACTGCAGAAATACTGAGGAACCCTTAAGAAAAAGTTCCACGAAGTTCTCCAGAGAACCCCTAAAGAGACGGTGTGGCAGCAGCGCCGGCACCCGCAGCCCAGACGGACCTCTGCACACCCGCGGTCAGCACGTTAGTGCTGTCGGACTCACCCTTGCCGCCGCCGGCCTTGGACACGCCATAGTCGCGGGGACTCCGGGGCCGGAGGAGGTCGTGGGCGCGGGGTGGTGGCACGGGCAGCCGAGGCAGCAGCTCTCGCGGGTTCCCGTCCCCGCAGCCGCCGCCACTCACGGCAATCCTGAAGGCCATGTGCGCTCCCAGGCCGGCGGGCCCGCGGCCCGGGCCGGGCGCACCAGGGGCCTCCTTTGGCCTCTTGTCCGAAAGTGCCTCGGCCACCTCGCAATGCATGGCGCCGGGGCGGGGCGCACGGCTGGGGGTCGCGCCAGGCTCCTGCAGAGGGGAGAAAAGCACCAGGCTTTAGAGTTCGGGAAGCTGAGCCCTCCGCCCCCGGGACCACAGTTTGGGCAGTCACGTTCTACTTAGTCTTGATCGCTAAGATTTGTCAGCGTCGCCGCACCAACCCTATCCCTGAGCCACCTGACCTCGCGCACTGGGGTCGTCCCCTTCTCGCTGCGGTCGCCCTGGCCCCGCACGTTCCGGTGAAGCCCACCGCGCCCTCCCATCCTAATCCGCTTCCACCCAGGGTCAGCCCTCTTCGGACGAATGGCGAAACTAAGGCCTGGGATGAGATGGGAGTTCCTGTCCGGAGTTCCCTAAAGGGACAGGGAGAGGGCAGCAGTCGGGACTCCCCGAGCAGGGTTCTGGGAGAGCCGGAGTGGGCTCAGATGGGTCCCTGGCTGCGCACCTCCTCCAGGTGCTCCGGGGCAGGCTGGGCAGAGCCCGGGCACTGCACACGCACGGCCGCGGGGTACAGACACACACCTCCCGCGAGCCCCGCCACTCGCCAGAGGCCGGGCAGAAGATGAGCGCGCACGCCCACGGCGCCGCGAGCCCACAAAGCGCACCCGAAGAGACACACATCCCCGAAACCCGGCGCACGGGGAGCACGCACAACCAACGTCGCCCACGCACGCCGGCTCCCACGCACACTCGCGCCGGGTCGGAGCACTCGGAGACCAGCCCTGCCACACACACACGCACACGCACACGCACGCCCATTCACCGGCTCCCACTCCGCAGCGCCGGCAGCCGCCAGTCTCACGCCGGAGCCTCGGCATCCTCTCCAGCATCACTCCCGCGAGAGCGAGGCCTCAGGGCCCCCCGAACTCGCCTCGCCCCTCGGCGCGCCCCGCGCCATCCCTGAGCTCGCGGATCTGGACGCCGCTGGGTCCCCCGGCGCGGGCCGCGCCCCTTCTCACCTCGCCGC